ATAACATACATACAAAACCTTTTTTTTCCTGGAGCTGCTTCTACTATAAAAAGCTTCATTTCAGTGACTTTCTAATATTCTTTCTGGTTCTGATGGCACAATTAAATAGTGATGAAGTGATTGAGGCCCAAAAGAATGTAATAAACCACAAGCAGATTGCAGACAAAAGTAGGGTAGCCAAAGCTTTAGAAAACTACCATTTTCCTGAAAGGCCATGAGGACTGGATCTTGCCATGCTCTGAATCCGGACTTTTTCCTTCTCAGTGCAGCTTTCAAATCTTTTCCCACTTAACGTTTTCACTTGTTTTGCTAATTTAAGTGCTATGAAAGTCTCTATTCTCCTGTAATAGGGAATATCAGTGCTGTCTGAAAAAATAAATCTCCAGGATGCCTGGCTAATTGATGGCACCATTTACAAGATATGATAATGATGTTAGATGTGACGTGATAGCCATGTTCCAGTATTTGAGGGGCTGCCACACAGAAAAGGGGATCTACTTATTTTCCACAGCACCAGAAGGCAAACAAGAAACAAGGGTTGGAAACTAATCAAAAAGAGAAGCAACCTAGAATTAAGGCGAAACTTCCTAACAGTGAGAACAATTAATTAGTGGAGCAGTTTGTCTTCAGAAATTGTGGGTGCTCCATCAGTGGAGGTTTTTAAGAAAAGACTGGACAGCCACTTGTCTGAAATGGTATAGGATTTGCTTCAACAGGGAGTTGGAAATAACTCCAAGGTCCATTCCATCTCTATTATGTAACTAAAGATAAACTATAGGGGAATTTGAATGGCATTCAAATCTTCTCAAGCAACAAGGGAATAGAGAGGGTAGATGCAATATTTGACCTCTTGTCCAGCTGAGCTGACTATGGAGAAGGAGAACAAGTACTTTAACTTGCACTTTGAACTGTGGGAGTTGAAGTTTAACACATCATCAGTAGGTTGAGTTACAACAATGCAAACAACGTTAGAAGCTGCTATGTTAATACTAATGTGTTACTATTAACTTAAAAAAAAAAATTCCGAATATATTCTTGATGTCTATTCAGCAATACTTTATTAACAACCATGAAGAAATCACCATAACTATAATGATTTGTGGGTTGACAGCTGGCTATATATATACATTTTGAGAGAAGATACTACATGAAGCTGGAGAAGGTGTCACATGTGAGATGGTTTATGATAAATGATAAAAACTGTAAGAAAAAATGGCAAGCCTCAGGAAGCTTTAATTCACAAAAAAGGCAGCCTATTGCCTACCCCTTCATTGTGCTTTTGTAATTGTGTATCCCAATCTTGGCAATTTTAAGAAGTGGACTTCCGCATACTCGTTTGAGAATTCTGGAAGTTGAAGTCCAGGTAACAAAGTTGCCACAATTGAGAAATACTGTTTGATCATATTTTTTCCAAAAGACTTGGAGATTTTGTTGCATGATTTTGTAGTTTTACTGTTGTTGTGAGTGCTCAAAATTATGCTGTAAGATCAGCAGTGATAAATAAATTCACATTGGAATATAGAGTCCAAAATGATCCCAGGAAAAATGCAACAGCAAAGCATTTTTCTATAGTTGACAAAAAAACAAGACAACCCAGCATGGACATTTCCAGGTGTCAAGCTTGAATTGAGGGAACCTCAGTAATTCCTTATAAAACCATGTAAATATGAGTACAGTTAGTCCTTGAATTATAACTACAATTGAGTCCAAAATTTCTGTTGCTAAGCAAGACAGTTGTTCAGTGAGTTTCATCCTATTTTACAACCTCTCTTGCCACACTTGTTCACATCTCTTGCAGTTGTTAACATGGTTCATGGCTTTTAAGTGCATCGTTGACTTTGCATGTCAGGTTGAAAAAGGTGATCAGATGACACACACACACACCCAGGACACTGTAACTGTCAGTTGCCAAATATTTGAATTTTGAACACGTGACCATGAGGATGCTGCAAGTGAAAAACGTTCATAAGTCATTTTTTTCAATGCCATTGTAACACAACCAAAACTGCTCTAATTGATTTTGTGATGCTGTGACGGGTTTTGTGACGGGTTTTGTGACGGGTGAAGAGCCTGAGCCCAAAATATTTTTCTGCCAACTTAAAAGTGACAATTTTTCCCATTCCTTTATTTTGGCTTTTGCCTCAATCGTTCTCAGACGCTTGATTGTTGTAGGAAATGATGAGCCAGAAGTACCACTGTGTGTTTGTGTGTGGGTGAGAGAGAGACAGAGAGACAGAGAATGAGAATGAAAGGGAGCAAAACTACAGTTCCACAAATGAAGCTTAGCCTTCTACCAATCTAATCACTTCACCAATATTTCTGTAAATAAAGTAAGCAGACACTTCAGGAAATTTCACAATATCTTTTTGTCTTATTATTATTATTATTTTTGTTGCTATTTCACCTGCAGTGATAGTTCCTTTATTTGTCACTGTCGCACAGAAAATGAAA